GGCTTATAGATAAAACTCCCATCTCCTTGGGACAGAGAACCTGGGGGAAGGGGAAGGGGAAGGGGGAGGGGAAGGGGCAGCTGTGGGCACAGCTTTTGCAGACTTAAACGTCCTTGTCTGCTGGCTCTTAAGAGAGCAGCGGATCTCCTAACACAGCACTCAAGCTCTGCTAAGGGACAGACTGCCTTTCTCAAGTGGGTTGACTCCCGTGCCTGACTGGGACATGCCTCCCAGCAGGGGTCGACAGACACTTCATACAGGAGAGCTCCAGCTGGCATCTGGCAGGTGCCCCTCTGGGACGAAGCTTCCAGAGGAAGAAACAGGCAGCAATCTTTGCTGTTCTGCAGTCTCTGCTGGGGATACCCAGGCAAACAGGGTCTGGAGTGGACCTCCAGCAAGCCCCAGCAGAACTGCAGCAGAGGGACACATTAGAAGGAAAACTAACAAACAGAAAGGAACAGCATCAACATCAACAAAAAGGACATTCACACAAAAACCCCATCTGAAGTTCACCAACATCAAAGACCAAAGGTAGATAAATCCACAAAGATGAGGAAAAACCAGCACAAAAAGGCTGAAAATTCCAAAGAACAGAACGCTTCTTCTCCTCCAAAGGATCACAATTCCTCACCAGGAAGAGAACAAAACTGGACGGAGAATGAGTTTGACGAATTGACAGAAGTAGGCTTCAGAAGGGTGGGTAATAAACTCCAAGCTAAAGAAGCATGTTCTAACCCAATGCGAGGAAGCTAAGAACCTTGAAAAAAGGTTAGACAAATTGCTAGCCAGTTTAGAGAAGAACATAAATGACCTGATGGAACTGAAAAACACAGCACAAGAACATCATGAAGCATATACAAGTATCAATAGCTCAATCAAGCAGAAGAAAGAATATCAGAGATTGAAGATCAATTTAATTAAATAAAGTGTGAAGAGAAGATTAGAGAAAAAAGAATGAAAAGCAATGAACAAAGCCTCCACAAGATATGGGACTATGTGAAAAGACCAAACCTAGGTTTGATCGGTATACTGGAAAGTGATGGCAAGAATGGAACCAAGTTGGAAAGCATTCTTCAGGATATTATCCAGGAGAACTTTCCCAACCCAGCAAGACAGCCCACCATTCAAATTTAGGAAATACAGAAACCACCACAAAGATACTCCTCAAAAAGAGCAACCCCAGCACACATAATTGTCAGATTCACCAAGGTTGAAATGAAGGAAAAAATGTTAAGGACAGCCAGACAGAAAGGTCGGCTTACCCACAAAGGCAAGCCCCTCAGACTAACAACAGATCTCTCTGCAGAAACCCTATAAGCCAGAAGAGAGTGGGAACCAATACTCAACATTCTTAAAATAATTTTTAACTCAGAATTTCATATCCAGTCAAACTAAGCTTCATGAGTGAAGGAGAAACAGAATCCTTTACAGACAAGCAAATGCTGAGAGATTTTGTCACCACCAGGACTGCCCTACAAGAGCTCCTTCAGGAATCACTAAATATGGAAAGCAAAAACCAGTACTAGCCAGTGCAAAAGCATACCAAATTGTAAAGACCATCAACACCATGAAGAAACTGCATGAACCAATAAGCAAAATAACCAGCTAGCATCACAATGACAGGATCAAATTTACATATAACAATATCAACCTTAAATGTAAATGGGCTAAATGCTCCAGTTCAAAGACACAGACTGGCAAACTGGATAAAGAGTCAAGACTCATCGATGTGCTGTATTCAGGAGTGCAATCTCACATGCAAAGACACACATAGGCTCAAAATAAAGGGATGGAGGAAGATTTACCAAGCAAGTGGGAAGCAAAAAAAAGCAGGGGCTGCAATCCTAGTCTCTGATAAAATAGACTTTAAACCAACAAAGATAAAAAATGACAAAGAAAGTCATTACATAATGGAAAAGGGATCAATGCAATAGGAAGACCTAACTATCCTAAATATATATGCACCCAATACAGGAACACCCAGATTCATAAAGCAAGTTACCAGAGACCTACAGAGAGACTTAGATTCCCACACAGTAATAGTGGGAGACTTTAACACCCCACTGTCAACATTAGACAGATCAATGAGACAGAAAATTAACAAGGATGTTCAGGACTTAAGAGACATCTACAGACGTCTCCACTCCAAATCAACAGGACACACATTCTTCTCAGCACTACCTCACACTTGTTCTAAAATTGATCACATAATTGGAAGTAAAACACTCCTCAGCAAATGCAAAAGAACGAAAATCGTAACAGCCTCTCAGACCACAGTGCAATCAAATTAGAACTCAGAATTAAGAAACTCACTCAAAATCACACAACTACAGGGAAACTGAACAACCTGCTTCTGAATAACTACTGGGTAAATAACAAAATTCAGGCAGAAATAAAGAAGTTCTTTGAAACCAATGAGAACAAAGATACAATGTACCAGAATCTCTGGGACACAGCTAAAGCAGTGTTTAGAGGGAAATTTATCCACTAAATGCCCACAGGAGAAAGCAGGAAAGATCTAAAATCAACACCCTCACATCACAATTGAAAGAACTAGAGAAGCCAGAGCAAACAAATCATAAGCTAGCAGAAGACAAGAAATAACTAAGATCAGAGCAGAACTGAAGGAGACAGAGACATGAAAAAAATCAATGAATTCAGGAGGTTTTTTTTTTTTTTTTTTAAGAGATTAACAAAATAGACCCCTAGACAAATAAGGAAGAAAGGAGAGAAGAATCAAATAGACACAATAAAAAATGATAAAGGGGATATCACCACTGATTCCACAGAAATACAAACTACCATCAGAGAATACTATAAACACCTCTACGCAAGTAAACAAGAAATCTGTTTAATTGATAGGATGCTCTTTGAATTGGAAGAGTCCATAAATAGAAAGGCTTTACAGATCTGAGATTGTACTGGCAAAATGAGACCATAAGCAGTGGCTGGATCTTCATTAATCAGTCCATATTTCATATTACATTTTGTTGATTTTAAATTGTTGAAGTTTGGAACAGTAAAATGGTGACCTTATAGGCTATACAGTATACATTTCTACATATACTTCCCAGTTAGGAGAGCATGTGGAGTTAGGTATACCAGACTCTTTTAGCTATAAAATACACTATTCATGTACCTGACTTTTTCTGATTACAGGCTCGTCAATGTACTTTTAAAAATTGTTTTTATTTAAATTTTTTGCAGGTAGTGTATATACATAGGTGTATATATTGACCTATTTTCTGATTATCATGTGGACGCCCATTTAGGCACTCCTATTCCATAAGTTCAAAGGAGTACTAGAAGTCAAAAGCCATTTTGTCACTTAATAAGAAAAATATCTATTTTAAACCTTCTCCTACTGTTTTATGAAAGGGTAGGACACACACAAGAATAACTAGAGTATACACCCCGATGATGGGAACTGACCGCCATATGTGATTCCATAAAAAACAAAAACATATTAACAGACTTATCTTTCAAAATCATACACTATAGCTCTTTATCCTCAGGGGTTGAAGTCCATATTTTCATTACGCCTGCCCTTTCTACCTCACTGAACTAAGAGAAAACATACAAATGTGCACTAGAAGTCAATAGTAAAGTAACCCTCCCCTATACTGCAAACTAAAGACATAGGATTAATACAGTTTCTCCCTTAGAGCTAAAAGCAGGGACAGGAGGTATACTATCATGTACAGAAGCAATAAAAAGGGGTTACAACATTCAGTGCTCAGCCATGCATTATCCAAAGGAGAAGAAACATTTTGAATCAACTTAATCCGATTCCAACTTCACAAACTAACATTTGTGTTGTTATAATTTGCTTTCCCAAGTATATTTGCTTATCAAAAGCAATATATTTGTCAATCGTGAGTATTCTGCTGCTTGTTATATCTCATTTAAAATTACTGAATTTCCATTTTTATTTATCTATCACTTTTTAAGCTTATTTAAAGTTAACTCCTCCCACCCCAATATGGATCTGCTAGATGATCTGAGGCAATCAGGCTTCTGTGTCTGCAAAACTGAGGACTAAGATTCTGGTTGATAATAAATTCACTGGCAAACGGCTATCTTCTGGGTCATTTTTGAGCTTTTCTTGATGGGACCTACCATCAATATTGAAAGATCTCCTGTTTTAGAATTGATGAAATTGATTCTATATTCAAAAAAACATTTAATTATCAGCTTCTATTATAGAACAGCTTCTACCCAAATATCTTCAATCCCACTGACTTCACTTTTCCAACTTCTGATTTACAGTGTTGTAAAGCCTTAACAATTGAGAACAGAGGCTACAATTTCAAAATTGGCATGGCAAAAGTGTACTTCATGGGCAAGCAAAAGAGTAGAGGTCACAATGTTATTATCCCTGTCATTGCTATCTCTGGAAGGTATGACTATGTAGCACCAGAGATAAGAGTCAACGTTATTTAAGTGTAATATAGTAAAAACATAAATACATTTCTGCCTATCAACTAAAGAAGCAGAAAATGAATAACCATCCAACAGAGGATCTCCCCAGAGTGAAAAATTACAACAGAAGTAGTGGCAGGAATAGATTTCCTGATTTAAATAGTAAACTATGTTGCCTTTTATAGAGTATATGAATGAAATTGGCAAGAGGAGCTAATTAATTATAGCTGATTACTCTATCAAATCTCTTGGTAGCATAAGCAAAACATTAACTTTTTATAATTATTTGGAGTCGATACACTCCAAATGCAGTGTGCTGCATCCATAGGGCATATACATTTTAAAGGCTTTTTTCCTCAAAGTCTTCACTGCAATTTTAGATACTGGTATTTTGAGAACTAGAATTAAATAAGACAATTCATAATATAGTGCAAGAAAGCAGAACATTTTAAATATATCTAGAGTACTGGAAAACTTAAGATATGCAGTTTTGTATTTTGTGTAGAAATGACAAGTCTCGGATGAAAACATTAAACTCTACTATACTAAAAGCAGTGGTAGTCCAGAAATTTACCAACCTTCAGGATCGAGTAGTTTCTCTATGCCTAATTGATATCTGGCGATGTTGAATGCATGTTCCAGTCGCTGTGTGGCTGACTGCTGGCAAACCACACTATTCCAATCAAACAGGTCTGGCCTAAAACACATACATATACACACATACACAAAGACAAATATAAATCAATCTAGAATGTTCCATGAGATTTACTTCCATGCTTAATTTTCATTGACAACCCATGCTCCATAGTCCTTAAGGCTTGAGTGTAATTCATTTACCCTTCAAAACATTTCTATTTAAACAAGTTGTAATTTTAATTGAAAATCTTGTTGGGTGTGGTGGCTCATGCCTGTAATCTCAACACTTTGGGAGATGGAGGCAGGCAGATCCTTTGAGCCCAGAGTTCGAGACCAGCCTAGATAATTTGGTGAAACCTTGTCTCCACAAAAAAAAAAAAGAAAGAAAGAAAGAAAAGAAAAACTAGCTGGATGTGGTGTCACATGCCTAGAAGTTCCAGCTACTCAGGAGGAGGTTGAGGTGGGAGGATCACCTGAGCCCAGGAAGATTGAGGGTGCAGTGAACCATAATCGTGCCACTGCACTCTAGCCTGGGCAACAGAGTGAGATCCTGTCTCATCCAGTCTCATGGATTTCAATACCAGTCATTTACTGGTAATGCCCAGTTTTATATCTCTAACCCAGACCTCCCCCCTAAACTCAAAATTATAGATTCTTCTGCATACTCATTATCTCCATTTAGTCATCACAAGCTTCAAGTGTCCTGGACGGAGCTTCTGATATTTATCCTCATCACACTCCCCCAAACCTATCTATTTTTCTTGCTGTTCTCTCTTCCTCAATAATGAACAACATGCTTAAAATTGCAGTTACTCAGATGAAAACCCTTGGAGTCATCCTTAATGACTATTTTACTCTCACACAACATTTAATTCAAAATGTATTCAGAATTTGACTGCTTCTGACTATCCTCACTGCCATCCCTCTAGTCCAAAATCCATTTTATCTTGCATGAATTATCACAATAGCCTCATAACTGTTCCCTCTTCTCTCACTCTTGCCTGTGTTAATCAGCGCACAGCAGACTTGCCAGAGTGATCTGTTAACATGTTTCATCATATCCGTCTTCTCAAATCTCTACTTTAGGGGAAGTGAAAATTACATATTTCATGTGATCTACTAAGTCGAACAGGGTCCAGGTCCCTATTAACTCCCTGATTTTATTTCTTGTCTCTTTCCTCATATTCCATAAACAGGATCCATAGTTTTCTGCATTTGGATTTGTATTCACTTTTCGAAGACATCAACGTGGCTCATTACTTTACTTCCATTGGGTCTTTACTCGAAAATCACATCACTGGAAATTCTTCCCTGCCCAAGCCCTATCTAAAATTGTATCCTAGCCAGGCGCCTTGGCTCACACCTGTAAATCAAGCACTTTGGGAGGCTGAGGCTGAAGTATTTGCTTGAGGCCAGGAGTTAGAGACCAGCCTGAACCACATAGTGAGACCTGGTCTCTATGACTTTAAAAAAAACAAGTAGTCAAGTGTGCTGGCATGCCCCTGTGGTCCCAGCTACTCAGGAGACTGAGGTTGGAGAATCACTTGAGCCTGGGTGGCTGTAGTGAGCCATGATTGTGCCACTGCACTCCAGCCTGGGTGACAGCAAAACTCAGTCTCCTAAATATATAAATGAAAAAGAAAATTGCATGCCTCACATCAAACTCACATACACTTATTTTCTTTCTCCTTATCTGCTTTATACTGTTCTCATTAACACTATTTAACATATTATATAATTTAATTAAACTTATCTCTGTATCTTTCTTTTCCACTAGAATGTACAATCTTTTATTGCCTGTTTGGTTCACTGCTGGAAACCCAGCCTGACACATAATAAAGGCTCAACAAATATTTATCAACTACACGAGAGAATGGATGAGCACCTACAACATATATACCATGTTACTTGATAATAGAGAAAACGCAAAGGAGTGTAAGAGGCAGTTCTTGTCTCGTAAGGATTTTAAATTTAATGAGCAAGGAAAATGAAGAAGTCATATTAATTAATTAAACTCTAAATGTGAAAAAACACAGACAATAAGAAAATGTTTTGTAAAATCTGAAGAGGTCAAAAAAGTTTTCTGAGGCTGAAAGGCGGATTAAATAGACATTTGGGCTTGCATTAAAAATATATTGATAACAGAATTCTAACTTGTGTGAGTATTAGAGAATTGAAGTTCTTAGGGAAGGAAAAAAGCAAGACATGCTCAGATAATCAAGACCTCACAGGCCTGGCTCCATTGGAAGATTCTAAGTATGAAGTGGTGGGAGATAAATTTGAGAGACCGAAACTGGTTGAGTTTGCATAAGGTCTTGGCTATTAACGAATTACAATTTATCCCAACAGCACTGGAAATCATTAGTAAAGTGGTTCTTCACCTTTTCTGAATCACAGACACCTTTGAGAATCTGCTGAGAGCTATGAAACTTCTACTCCTACAAATAAGTCTCCATATCTGTTAACAGAATCTATATACGATTTTAGGATATTTGAATCTCTTAATGGACTCCTGTTTAAGAGCTCTTGCTTTGCCAAAAAAAAAAAAAAAAAAAAACAGTTACAAGGGTAGGTTAACTGTCATTTTCTAAAACTGTAATTCAAATTTGGCCAGGCTTGGTGGCTCACGCCTGTAATCCCTCCTTTGGGAGGCCAAGGCAGGCGGGTCACCTGAGGCCAGGATAACTCCGACTCTACTAAAAATACAAAAATTAGCCAGGCATGGTGGCTAGTGCCTGTAGTCCCAGCTACTCAGGAGGCTGAGGCAGTAGAATCGCTTGAACCTGGGAAGCAGCGGTTGCAGTGAGCCAAGATTGGCCCACTGCACTCTAGTCTGTGCAACAGAGTGAGACTCTGTCTCAAAAAAAATAATAATAATAAAATAAAAATGTAAATAAATGTACAGATTTGTTTCTTCTTTAATTGCTTCTACTCTGGTTAATACACCAAAATTTTGTACACTTATTAGGAAATCGAATCCCTCCATATATTCCAAAATACCCCAAACAGCTAACAAGCTTATGGAAACCAGCATATTTGTAAATTGTAAAATGCCTTATGAAAAAAATATTAAAAATTTAAAAATTGTAGACTATTTAGGGGACTTTTAAGTTCACCATGCACCCTTCTGCCTTATCTTCATTTTTTCTGTAGGCAATGGGAGTAGAAAAAGAACACAGGTGGGAACATATGAGAAACTAGTTTTCTCATCTGCAGCATAATATACAAGGTTGAAATGAGTATGATGAGCAAAAAGAGCATTGCTTATGTATTCTTGTTGTTTTCCCTTGTCTTCCCCTTTTCCTTGGCCACTAACTAACCACCTGAGTGTGTGGATATCTCATCTAAGTCAGGTAATTTATTTGAGCTTTGGCATTTTCATTCAAAAAAGCAGCATTGCACAAAATGGCCTTTGAGGTCACATCTAGCATTAAAAATGAATTGTTTTATACCATTAAAATTAATTAACATTATAAATATCTATGATTTTCAAATGCGTAAAAATTGTAAAAATAACCAACTATGGAGGAAAGTCACACAGCATTTAATGTTAACCCTGGACCATAATTTATGAACTTGCAACCAAGGATTACCAGATTTTTAATAAAATCAACACCATGATTAGGATAGTAAAATTTAAATCCTAGTTCTACCACATACTAGCCAAATAGTTTTAGGTAAATTACATAACCTCTCTATGACTCAGTTTATCTATTTGTGAGATGGGTAAAATGATAGCATCTATGTCATGGAACTTGATGGAGTATTTTACCTAGAACGGTGTCTACAAAATCATAATTGTTCAAAAACATTCGTTTCTATTACTTTGCTGTAATGTTAATTATATTTATATAACAACAGTGATGTATTTTCAATTTGCAGACTCAAGCCAAAAACACCTATCTTTACAGAACAGATATAAATGTTACAAACACTACTGATGCAAACATAGTATAATTCAAAATGGGGGGTGGAGAAGAGGCGAGAGTAAGTATGTGTGATGATTTTCTCACTTTTCATATTGGTCAAAAGGTGCTTTCTAAGCTTGGTAAAAATTTAAAAAGAGGTATACTCATACCATTTAATGTAATAAAAGCAAAAATTACAAGAATAAAACGATTTTAAGTAATCAAATTAGGAAATACCTGGGGATGAAAGGTAATATGGCTGGGCTTCATACTATGGAGTAAATACCTATACTGTTAGAAATTAGTTTGTCAAGAAGTAGAAACATTATCATACATATTATTATAACCATCAGGAACCAAAGTACAAGTAGCTGACACTGACTACATCTAAGAATTGAAATGTGATAAAGTAGGGTTGGGGTCATGAAGATACACTGTGTTTCTGTTTTCCCTTCGCTCCTGACTCTAGTGTCCATTCTTTTAATTTGCTGTGGTAATACACTAAAATAAGGATTTAGGAAGATAATTGAAACTTTAGAGTTATTGTAATTTTATCTGCATCTTGTACATATTTCTAATCAATTATCATTGGGTTTTAACACAAAAAGTAGAAATCTGGCTTCCCTTGAAGGGTAATGTAGTGGACTTTGCGTTTTATCACACAACTTTTAACTTCCATGACCCTGAGTCAATCCTTATGCTCTATATTAACTGCACGTCTTTGTTCTATATAGTTGAGCCACTCAATTATTGAAATCAGGGCACCTCATGACATTCCTAAGTGTGCCAATGACAATCTCTTTGGAACGGAAAGTTCAAGCATTTTTTTTTCTTTAAAGCATATGAACATCTGTCAAATACAAAAAGAAGGGGGAGATGATTCATGAAAGAGCATTAAACAACCGTGAAGAACCTCTTGAAAAGTAACCATGTAATGCATAAAGAGTTACTGATGATTCATCCAGTATGACAGGAGAGAATATATAAATAAGGATATTTTGACAGAGAAAGAGTGGGTCAGGGACAAATAAAGCAGGGCAATCTGGGTATGTTTACTGTATTACCTACAAATGTATTCAGAAATCATGAAATAGAATATTAACAAATATAGAGTGTGAACATGTTTGCAGGATTGAAGTCTTCCACTTGAAGGGAAAATGTTAGAGAGCCAACAAGGACCATATAGCCTGATCCTTGATATTTTTGCTCATCTGCAAATGTGTACATGAACAGCAAAATCAATATTCTCAGGCCCTTAGTGTGAAGCAAGTGGCTGCATAAATGAACATTGACTTAAAACACAGACCGAATGTCTCTATCCCTTCTCATCTAACTGTATTGAAGCTATGGAAAATTTTTCTTCTGTAATACAGTAAACAATGTGGTAACATTGCTTAACATGACATTTGAATGCATGTCTGCCTCTTTTCTAAAATCAGGTTGCTGAGTAATTCACCTGGAAACCCAATCTGGATGGGGTTAATTAAATCCAGCTGGAGCAAGACACCTGACAAAGATGCTTATTTGAAGTGTTTGCTCTTGGACTGAGCTTTACCAGAGAGAAAATTCATATTCTGAGCTTTTCTAGAAGCAGGATTGGCATAGGAAAGTTGTAGAGTCGTCAAAAAAAAAAAATGAAAGTGAAAAAACATAACTTGCACTGAAAATTAGGCAAGATGCAGTCCAGTGTCATTTTAAACACAGTTAATTAGTCAATGCATTTAGCCCTAAGTTGGGTAAATGAAATGGGTAACAGGAAGACCAAAATAGAGTAACTATAGTCCCCCTCTCTCTCTCTCAAAAACACACACACACGCACACACACATGTATATATATACATATATACACATATATACATAGAGTCTAAATGGTGTAGTATATATGGTATATATATCGTATCTATAAGTGTATGTATACATATACATATGTATTTCCTAAACTGCTTTGCTTTTTCTTGAACTATTAATTCATTTACTGAGCTTTACACAAGAAAAGCAAAAAAAAAAACTCGTTTTTCATCTCAAGAAAAAGAAATATAATGTTGTATGGAATATAGTTAAGGACTTTGGTTCACTGTATTACAGTGAGTTCTTTTTATTAGGATCCACAAAAGCTCTCTTGCTTTATAGCAATTGATTTGCTGTTCCAGAGCAATTGTTTCTTTTGGTATTCTGAACACTACGTCGTAGAATTAATTGTGTTCTGCTCTTTGTCTTGGTTGCTAAAATGTTCTGAGCGTCTTATGACCCTGAACTAGAACAAAGTATACAGGACTTTATGGTGTTTGATATCTGTGTGTGTATCTGATAAGACAGATGTTTCTTTCTCCACACTATTTATCTGATGATGGTAATTAACTACAACTACTCACATGAGATCTAGAACCATTTTTAGCTGTATAGTTTAGGCTTACACAAACACATTATCTGTATAAAAAGACTAACCCAGTTCTCAGCAAAGTTAGAATACAACCTGCATTTTCTGGGAGTCCCAATGTCAAACCCTCTAACATAACCAATTTCATGCTCCATTAATGTTAATATTTCAACAACTAAATTATACATATCACATAAAACACAGGAAAATATTCTTAATTAGTTCATTCCGATGGAATGTTAGATCAATGTGGTCAACGTACATAACATGTTGTAAAGTAGGACATGATCTGGAACCGTACTGGGAAAAAACATGTCATCAGAGTCTAAATCACACTTTTAAAAGTTATTTAATGTCTCAGTAATCTTCTTACCTATGACTATGGATGAGAGCATTCAAAGCCAGGCCATCAGACCAGCTGGTGGTGAAGTTGATTACATTAACCTGTGGATAATTACGAGTTGATTGTCGGACCCAGCTCAGGAGAATCTTTTCACTGTTGGTTTGTTGCAATCCAGCCATGATATTTTTCATTACATTTTTGACCTACATGTGGAAATAAATTTTCATAAGGAAACAAATTCCTTGAGCAAGAACCATGCAAATTTAATAGAAATTTTAGGGCCAATTAGTAATAAAACATAAGAGATTCTACCCGAAGTAAGTCTATTCTAAAAGGTGAGGAGTCTATTCTGATTCCTTGGTGTCTATGCCATACCATTTACTGAATGTGTTCATTATTACTCCTGGATTCTGCCATATTAGACTGAGCATTTACTGTTTATAGAATTGCTCACCTTCTAGCTTTCAATGAACAAGCTAGAGAAGACAGTGTATAAAAACATTAAACTTACTGTTAACCAAGGACTGAAGACATAAAAGTGCTTTTTGGTTAGCATAATCATTTTTTAAAGTATGTGTTCATATTTTGCCTTTGTTATTTATTGTGGTAATTGGACAAGTTGCTTAACCTTTTCTAGGCATTTCTGTGTATCTTATATGCAACGTTAGTGTAAGATCAAAGTACAAAATACGGTCAAATAAAACCCCTAATTTCATACCATCATTTAACTCGAGTTATGTTTACTGGCTGAACTGAAGACAGAAATGTTTGTCTGCCTAAAATAAAGAAAAAAGCAACAAAGGAAAGAAATATTTATCCCTAAGAGCTGTACATGTGTAGCCTTGGTTCTATTTTCATTAATTGGTTTCCATGTATTTGATTCTCTCATAGGCTTCATGTATGTACAGATGTTATTCAGCAGATTATCAAATTTCATTCTTCTGAGTCATCTGATGCAGAAATCCATTCTAAGCATTTTTTCTAAGTTTCATGAATGCAGTGACACCTCATAGAAAAACTGATGTCTTTTATTAAAGAATTATTTATTATGTATTAAAGACTACTTTTTAAATATAAGCCCCTTATGAGATGCTGGAAGAAGACATCTATGTAAAACTCATTAGTCTGTACCACTAAGCACTTTCCTTCTGGGAAGGTTAAGGTTCATATACTATCAACATTTGATCAGATGATGAATATTTATTGTGCATTCTAAATATGATAATTTAACTTTTTCATCCATATAGAAGTTAACAAATGCCTTTGGGGTAAATGTATATTTTAACATCTCCAATGTTAGTCATCTTTTTATTAAAAAGTAAATGCAAATTTTAGGATATACTACTAAATCTCATTTTAACATACTTTTGAAAGATTTGAGATGATGCTTTGTAAACATAGTAATGATTTGGATAGGAAAACTTCGCATATATTTGTCACAATCCCTTGATAACTAAGTCTATTATTTAGGAGTAGATTATCCAGTTTTCCTAATTCCTTCTTGACCTACTTATTTAGTCAGTTACTCAGTGAATACAGGTCAACTATGTAATTTGTCTCATATTCTAAAATTATAAATTGCAAACCTTTATGTACAGTGACTGCAGGAGGTGTATTTTGTATTCCGTGCTAAATTAGGACTGGAATCAGCAGATCGTGGCTTAATGGTGGTAATGGATTTGCAATAATCAAGCAATCCTCCAATGATGAATGCGATTCATTTGTGAAATGCTTGGCCAGTCTGCCCTCTATGTGCATAATGTTGAAGGACAACCAAGTATACAATCCAAAACTCCTTTAGTATCATTATGTCTCTAATTCAGCTTATCAGCCTCAGCCTCGTTGTTATTGCTTCTACTTAGGTGCAAATGTTGCGCAGAAAAAAAATGTAATCAAGGGCAGTGTATGATAATCATGTCTCCTTTTCCTACACAAAAGGCAGTTATCAAAAAATCATTGAGCTGGTCCCAAAGGTGAGCCTGTAAACAAAATTGTCCTGTCCTCAGATCTGTCTCTAAAAGAGGCTCAATTTAAACAAATGTATTTGTGTGTGTGCCCGTGCATACAACTATAAATCCATTTTTTAAAAGGAAAAAAGTTGAAATGTCTTTGAGCAGTGATTTTTAAAAATGACTAGGAGTTAACTGGGCCAAGAAGGCATGATGGACATGGAGATGCACCGCCAAGATTGATCTTCAAAGGAAGGGCTTGTTGCTCCAGCTGTGGTCAGGCAGCTTCTTGTTAGTTCTCTCAGGTACCACCTGACTTGCCGAGTCCAGTCAGCCAATGTCACACCCTTTCCAGGGCAACCCACATCTATTGACTGATGAAGGGGCATAGTATAAACACTCCGCCATTTTAACTCCACTTGAGACAACTCTGAAGGGTCATCCTAGCTGCAAGTTGTCCATGGGGTTGAATAAGGGTATTATAGAGTTTACATCACAGCTGTAGTTCTTTCTCTTTCCACTCCTGTCACCTCTGCCCTTCTACAGGTGTGTGTGTTTTTTTTCTTCTTCCAGGGCATGGCTTAATAAACATGCTGCCTGCCAAACTCAACTCCAAAGTCTACTTCCCAGAACCCAGACTGTGATTAAAAGAAGTTGCAGCAGAGGAATAGAAGTGAAGAAGGGTGGGAATAATCTTATATGGTAAGGATAGTTTGTGTGAAGCTCTGCAGAAGAGCAGAGCAAGAACTGTCTTGCACAGAAGTGACTTGGTAGGCAGAAATTTACAGGGATGGCTTTCAGCAGTGCAAACGTCATCATTCTCCTATAATTGCAAATTGTATCAATAATACAAAGATTCTAAAGTGAATAGCGCTGCCATTAAGTACATCCCTTGAATTATCCAGCAAAAGTATGGACCTGACTTCTGATAGCTCGCCACTGTTGGCAAGATTTGTTTTTATAACCAACTGGTTGCCAGAGCCAAGATTAGCACTCTGAAAAAAATGGATTGCACTTAAGAAGGAAGAAAAAGATGCCAAACACACGTTATATGCTTTGCAATTTTGTTCAAAGCTGCCTATGCTACAAAATATGCCTTGTTTTAGGCTAGCAATTTTATTTGAGATGGACACTGGAAAAACAGTAAGGAAAACAGGGTTTGCATTCCTGAGTTTTCACAAGTTCAATGAGAAGTCCTCTATGGCACTATTAATAACATAGTATGTGGCATTAGAACAAGGGGTCAACATCTTTCTATCTCTAAATGCTGCTCTTAATCTGATAGATCTAGAAGGTACATTAAGTTGACCAGAATGCCCTTTAATCTTTGCTGAGATATAAGGGCTTCTCCATTTAATAGGAAGGAAAATATGTAATGCTGGTAAAAAGTATATTTTTAGATTCACTGAATTATGATGAAGAACACTGAGTAAGATAATTTTTTCAAAGTGTGCTTAATAGTTTTAGAACATGGCAGTGTGATATAAGAGAGAGATGAGATAAGTAAGCAGAGGCTGGGAAGAGTCTACAGTCTTGCCATCTCAAGGATATGGTGATTCAAGGGCATAAATGGAAAACAACAGGCTGTAAGAGAGGTCTCAGACAAAGAAAGATTGAAAAAGCATTCTTTCTGATATTCCTCATTGTAAAAGCTCCTCCACATGCTAATAAAAAAAAAAAATGAACAACTTGCAAGCAAGTGAAGAAATTATCAGACAGAATAGTCTTGAAAGTTTATCTTAGACTAGTTCAGATGGAAAGGGCTTCAGGATATTTTTTAAAAATGGTAAGATCGTATGATAAATAGTATAAACGATAAGTACAATTCAAAGTGGCTTTTGGAGCTCTGTGCATGCTTGAGTTCTGCTGACTTTGTCAAAACTTACGTCTGTGTTACGCAAAGTGGGATCTGCAAACTGGATTCACTCTAAGAATTATTTGTTACTATGTCATAAGATAAAGTCAACAATTGGGAATGCATCAAGAAACTTACGTAGGGATTTTAGAGTGCCATTTATGTCTATTGCATTTAATAATAAAGGAGGAAGCTTAGGTATTTTTTTTGTAATGCTTTGGTTTTATTGTATCTTACACACAATGCATTAGGGGAAAAACGTGTTCCTTCCTCAAGATATTTCGAGAAATACCGCACAACATATGAAAAGCAGTTTGGGGAGAGGTGGGGTATGTTGCTCGCTGGTTCTATTTGAACCATCACTATATGGAACGGACTGAAAATCGGCCAACTTGGGCTCACTTAAGGCTCCTATGAGCTATTCTTTGTTGCCAGCACACATTAATTCCTGCTCTTTCTCTTCCCTCCTCCCCGCTTACTGTTGTGAAATAGCATTAAGCCTGTTCAGAGAAGTTGGAATAAAAATATATGCGGGCCAATTAGGAGAGCAATATGGCTGCTGAATTGAGAAGGTACACTTAGTGTCTACTCATCCTCTGACTCTGAGCAAGAGCAATCTACAATTCAAGTTAAAATTCAAGTTTACCAAATGAAGCCATGACAGCTGCTATAATAGGGCTAGACCTGAACTATTACGCTCAGTGAAAGTAGTCAGACACAAAATAACAAGTATTATATTGATATAAAATATCCGAAAAGGCAAATATGTATGGACAGAAATAGACTGACAATTGCCTAGGGCTACGGTTGGAGTGAAAAATGACTGTAAATGGAGAAGAAACTTCTTTTTAGGGTGATGGAAAAGTGCCAAAATTAGATTGCTATGATGGCTATATTACTCTGTAAATGTCCTACAAATTTTAATGAACTGGCGGGTTGGTGGGGGTACTATTGATCCCTCAAAATACTTTGAGAAGCTACCAAGAATCAAAACTAAACCAGGTTGATGCAAATTGAATTTTGCACTTAGAATGGGTGCATTGATGGTATAACAATTACATTTCAAAAAAGCTGATTTATAAAAAAGTAATCCTGACCAGTAAAAATAGCAGTCATTTCTCAGCCTCCAAATTTTTTTAATGAGTGGAAAACTTCAAGCAATCAATACAAGTCATATGACACACCTCAAATAAAAGTGGTATACTACACTGAGTGTCTTGCAGATATTCTCCCACTTAATCGTGATAAGAAATATATACACGTTTATTTTTATTTTTACTCTTTTGATAGTGAAGGGACCATGGTCCAGAACAGGGGTGACAATATACCAAATGCCACTAAGGTGCTAACTGTGGAAGTTTAAGTTCAAGTTCATGTTGGTAAATATATATACACACATATGTATACATATATATGTGTAAAATGAGTTATTATGTGTATATATACAATGAGTGAATATTAGTGAATATAAGTTCATGTTGGTCATATATACATATATGTGTGAATATGACTATATATACAAACACGTATATTGTATATATGCATGTATATATATACACACACTCATATGCATACACATGCATATTGTATATATGCATATATATACTCTATATATATACTCTCTCTCTCTCTCTCTCTCTCTCTCTCTCTCTCTATATATATATATATATATATATATATATATGGGTATGTGTATCTTTTCCACAAATTCTTCAATCCATTTTGCAGAGGTCAAAGAGACAGTCAGAAGACCCTATGCTCATGTGACTTAAAAATATAATTTCCAAATCAAATTATGGAGTTTGTATGTATAACACATTTATGGATAGAGATACCCATATTCTACTAATCTTTTATTGGCAATAATTTATGTTAAGAATACCCAAGACTGAGAAAGCCCCATTCCTTTGATAGTGATTAAAATTAAAAAATGCCTTTCTTTTTACAAGGCTATATAAACTCACTTATAGACAAGTAATAGAACATACATTTGTGGGAAAAAAAAATTACTCATCTATGACTGGGACTTTGTATTTTACCTTATGCCTACTTAATGAAATAAAATTTTGAAAAATATTCCTGTAAATGTACCAGAACCTATTTTACACCATGATGATCCTTAACATTTCAGATGACATGGTTGTATCAATTTAAAAAGTAACACTGTGGAGAAGGGTTTGTTATTGTTAGAAATACACATTTGTTTCACAGGTCAAGGGCAGAAATAAAAAAAAAAGCAAGATTCATGTTACCCAAAAGGAAACCATTCATCAGGATTCTTACCTGCCAGTGGAGGATTATATTCCAAATCAAACCAAGAGTCAGTTTATGATTTCCATCTACGATGTCAGTACTTCCAATATTCACTAAATCAACCTGTTAAAGAGAAGGGGAAAACATTTGAAGGTAAGAAACCAAATGCCTAGTTGCAATAACAATAATAAAAATGTGAAGGTAATTGCATTTAGCTATTTTCAGGGACTCAGCATTAAAGTTTTTTAAAAATAATCTAAAAATTAAACAAAATGCATTAGAAACCACTTTCCACAACAAGCATCCCATATATATTTACTTTTAGCGCATGAATAGATTACTGCAGATTAGAGAGGCCGACTGGAGTATCTCCAAACAAAATGTCATAAAGGATGTCTAAAATTAAGATATGCTTTCTAGTATAGAATTACAACTCAGAAAAATTCACCAGTACTTCCGTCTATCTCCGAGGAGTGCCAGTATAATTAAGGCTGACTGCATTTTACTAAAATACCTCTGTTTTAGAAAGAATGTTAGGTCTCTAATAAACAATGGAGCAAATTGCCAGCTCTCTTATCTCTGTCTAGGACTGTGTTTGGAACTGAAAATCTGGCAGTGTTTTGCCTTAATCAAGGCAAATCTCTATGTCTCCTGTCCTTCACACTACTCAAATGTTTAGGTGGAGTAAGGTTAAACACAAGCATCTGAAAAATAAGCATGTGAGAAGATGTTCAATGTTGTTAGCCAGTAGAGGAATGCAAATTATAAACCACAATAATCTATCACTGCGCATATATCACAATGGTTAAAATTTAAAAATGGTGCCATAACATGCTGGTGAGGGTGTGGAGAAACTGGATCACTCAACCCCTGCTAGTGGAAATGCAAATGATATAACCACTTTGGAAAACAGTCTGGCAGTTTCTCACAAAACTAAACATGTACTTATTATACAATCTAATAATTGGTCTCTTGGGCATTTATCTAAAGGAAATGAAAACATGTGCACACAAAAACCTGCACGTAAGTGTTCATACTACCTCTATTTGTAATAGCCCCAAACTGGGAACCCAGATGCCCTCAAGGGTAGGTAAACAAACCATAGTACAGCCACACCATGGAATAACACCCATCAGTGAAAAGGAACAAACTATTGATACATGCAGCAAATTAGATGAATTTCATGGGCATTATTCTAAGTGGGGAAAAAGTCATTCTCAAGAGGTAGCATACTATATGAGTCTGTATCTATGACAGTCTTGAAAAGACAAAGTTACAGAAATAGAGAACAGAGTAGCAGTTACCAGAGGTCAGGAATGGGGGTAAGATGTGGGGTAGCTGAATGTCCTTGTAAAAGGACAATATGAGGGAACCTTGTAATGGTGGAACTGTTCTGATGGTGGAATTGCAAATCTACACACGTAACATTGCATAGAACTAAATACACACATATGCATACACATAAATATGAGTAAAGCTGGGGAAATCTGAATACTATTGGTGGTTTATATGAATGTTGACATCTTGGTCAAGATATCATACTTTCGTTTTATAAGATGTTACTATATCAAAGGGGAGATTAATCAAGACTAAGAAAGCATCATCGTCTGTATTTCATCTGGGGATTCCTCACATGGCAGTAGAAGAGAGAAATTCCTCCATAAGGAAAAGCCACTATAAATTTATCTATTGATTCACTGATTCACTAACTCAACAAATATCTTTTGGTTATATGCCAGGCAATGAGGTACTAAGAGCATGTAAAAGGAAAAACCTTCTGCTTTCATGAAACTTAATTTAGTGATAGTTATAATCAGATGATATGCCACTGAAGATTAAAGCAGTTAAGCAGAAAATATGTAATTTTTAGGAAACAGACTCACTCATACTGTGGGAAGCATGGCTTGTAGGTATGTTTTGGCTTGCCATAGACCTGACTCTGGGGAGACTTAGATTAAGTAATAGGCACTTATATTCCAGTAACCCCTACCCAATGTCATAAGACTTGTCACTGTGTACGCAGGAAGATAGTTCCTCCATTTCCTTATCCCCATAAACGGTCTTATAAGGTCCAATTTCCACTATATTCAGGCACTGGGCTCAGACCTGATAAAGGGAAGCAAGGTACTATCCCTAATGTCAAGAAGTTCACAACAAAGGTCACATAATAAAAAAGTATCTACCATTAGGCTCTAGCAATTCTACCTCTACAACCAAAATAATTAGAGATTAAGATATTTGTAGACCAATGATCATAGTAGCATTATTTGCAATAGGCAAAATGTGAAAACACCCAAATGTCCATCTACAGATAAATGGATAAATAAAATGTGGTATGTACATACAACGGAATATTCTCAGCCTTAAAAAGGAATGAAATTCTGATACAAACAACATAAATGAACCTTGGAAACATATGCCAAGTGAAATAAGCAAGACATAAAATGACAAATACTGTATGATTCTACTTATGTGAGGTACCTAAAAAAGTCAAATTCATAGAGAAAAATTGAAGTTATTAAAGGCTAGGGGAGGGAAAAATGGGGAGTTATCATTTAATGAGTTCAACTTGGGATGATGAAAACATTCTAGAGATGGAAAGCAGTGATGATTACCCAACAATGAAAATATACTTAAAGCCACTGAATTATACACTAAAAAAGTAGAAAAAATAGTACCTCAAACCCTATTTAGGGCAATGTACCTGAATATACATTTCTCAAAAGACAACAAACTAATGGCCAGCACATAAATGAAATAATATTGAACATCACTAATCATCAGAGAAATGCAAATTAAAACTACAATGAAATATTATCTCACACTGTTAGAATGGCTATTATCAAAAAGACAAAAGACTAAGTTGTGGCCAAGATGTGGAGAAAAAGGAATCTTTGCACACTGTTGGTGGAAATGTAAATTATTGTAGCCATTATGAAAAACAGTATGGAGGCTTCTCAAAAAATTACAAATTAAACTACCATATGATTCAGGAATTCCACTGCTGGGTATATATTCCAAAGGAAATGAAATCAATATGTCAAAGAAATAACTGTACTCCAGTGTACATTGCATTGCTACTCAAAATAGCCAAGATAGGGAATCGACTTAAGTGTCCATCAGCAGATGAAAGGATAAAGAAAATGCAGGTATACACACCTACACACACACACACTGCAATACTACTCAGCCTTAAAAAGCAGAGAATCCTGTCATTTGCAACAACATTAATGAATCTAGAGTACGTTACATCAAATGACATAAGCCAGAAACAGAAAAACATTACATCATGTCACTCGTATATGAAATTTTAAAACGTTGAGCTCATAGAATTGAGAGTAAAATGATGGTTAGCAGGGGATAATAGAGCTTGGAGGAGGAGGGTTGGGGAGATGTTGGTCAAATGATACTAAATTACATTCAGATAGAAGGAATAAATTCAAGAGATCTATTGTACAACATGCTGACTTTGGTTAACAACAATATTGTATTTTGAAAACTGCTAAGAGAGTAGGTTTTAAGTTTCCTCACCCCCAAATGATAAACATATAATGTATATATTAGCTTGAAGCATTCCACGATGTCTAGATATTTTAGAAAATCATATTGTACATGATATATACAATTTTTTGCTAGTTAAATTAAAAAATAGTTGTATGGCAAATTTTACGTTATTTGTATTTCACCACAATAAAAAAGAAGTCATCAGAACACATACACGCACGCACAACAGCAGCAGCCACAGGTAATACCTAAATAAATGTTGTGGCTTTTTCCCAGTAAAATTTATATCCATAGGAAAAACAATTAGGTAGGCAACTGTGTCTCATGGAAGCCCAAGGGATGGGAAAAAGGAAGTAACAGTGTGACAAGGTAAGCAAAAGACGTAAGATATATCCATGTATTCAGTATTGATTAAATCTGTAAAGAAAAAAATAGATTGGAATGAAGACAGTGTCAGGTGGAGAAAGCATGCCAGAAAGAGTTCAGATGACTGGGGGTAATTAACTGATTGGGAATATGGAGATATTGTATTCAGGGACAATATGGCAGACAGCTACTCTTTTTAACTTTTATATTAGGTTCAGGGGTACATGGACAGGTTTGTTATATAGGTAAACTGCATGTCATGGGGGTTTCATGTACACTCCTCTCCCTCCCCCCACCTTTTACTCTCAAGTAGGCTCCAGTGTCTGTTGTTCCCCGTTTGTATCCATGTGTTAACTTTTTTGTTGTTTGTTTTTTGGTAGATGGAGTTTCACTCTTGTTGCCCAGGCTGGAGTGCAGTGGCGCCATCTTGGCTCACCGCAACCTCTGCCTCCCGGGTTTCAAGTTATTCTCCTGCCTCAGCCTCCCGAGTAGCTGGGATTACAGGTATACGCCACCACACCCACCTGATTTCGTATTTTTAGTAGAGACGGGGTTTCTCCATGTTGGTCAGGCTGGTCTCCAACTCCCCACCTCAGGTGATCCGCTCGCCTCGACCTCTCAAAGTACTATGTTACAGGCGTGAGCCGCCGCGCCCAGCCTAACTCCCACTTACAAGTGAGAATATGTGGTTTCATTTAGTTTTCTGTACCCGCATTAGTGTGCTGAGGATAATGGCTCCAGCTGCATCCATGTTGCTGCAATCTCATTCTTTTTTTGTCTGGATTGTATTCCATGGTGTATGCCTACCATATTTTCTTAATCGGTCTACTGTTGATGGACATTTAGGTTGATTCCACGTCTTCGCTATTGTGAATAGTGCTGCAATAAACATGTATGTGCATGTGTCTTTATCGTAGAACAATTTATATTCTTTTGGGTATATACCAAATAATGGGGTTGCTGGGTTGAATGGTATTTAAGTTCTTTGAGGAATCACCATACTGCTTTCCACAATGGCTGAACTAATTTACATTCCCACCAGCAGTCACCACACCTGGCCAATATCTTATGCACACATTTTCAGACACTGATGCTTCTATTGTTATTATAAAAATTCACAGGATGTATCTACTAGATCAGAGTGTGTGTATATACAGACATAAACATGCTCTGATCTAGCAGATAAATCTATACATATATATACACATTTCAGGGAGACATAGATATATCTATATATACACAGATATCTACAC